TCTACCCCTAGCCTTTTTGTTTGGACTCGGATACAAATGGTGATTATTTTAAGTCTTATTTGACATGATAGAAGAATTTTTAATGAAATTGAAATCAAAATTGGAATCAAAATTAAAATTAAAATGAAATTAAGTTTTAAAAGTGTGTTTAGTATGAAGATGAAATTCTAATATAATATTAATTTGTATATGTACTTAAAATAAAAAAAGACCAAATTACCCTTTTTTCTCAAAATTAAAAAACCTACCTTATCATAAATAGGCAAAAAAGATGAGGGTAGTGGGATCTACAAAATGAATTCAAGAGAATTGAAGCAATTCCATGGTCAATATGATAGAATTAAATTCTAACATTTTTTATGGAATTAGGATTCTTAAGAATTACAAATCCTACATATCAATCATGCTTAAATTAGTATTCCATCTCTAATTTTATTTTCACCTTGCCAATTCAATGATACCAAACATGATCTTAGTTATCCTATCCTATTAATTAGAACTAGACAATTTCCTCGTGCTTGTAGTCAAGGGATTTGAAACAAACATTATCAATACTATTAATATCAACATATTTAAGGTGGTTAAATTTTTAAGAGTTTCTCTGTTCAATTATTTTTTTTGGATATTTTATTTTTACACATTTTGTTTTTTTCCTCGATGTATGTTTAGAGAATATTAGTCAAAAAAATACTTTTTTAGAATTTTCAATAACCCCTCATTTTCAATTATGTAAAAAAAATTAAATACTAGTTTATGAATATGACATAAATTATATTTCTATAAATATGGATATAAAAAAGAATTCAAAGGGATTCCTTCTTCTTTTTTTAATTGCATTTTATTCTTTTGTATTTTTTTGGTTCCTATCCTTTTTTTATGTGCAAAATAGAAGGGCTATCAAAAAAATACATCTACCACTCAAGTTTTTCATGTTTTGAGTATTTAAGTAGTCATTGTGTTATCTTGTTGGCGCTAAATGTATGGTGAAAAATGCACAATTTGAAGGGCCAAAATCATGAGATAAGATTTGATAAGTTAAATCAAACTTAAACTTCTTTTTATTTTTCTTTTTTTCTTTTTTACAAACAATGTTTATGAATAAAATAATTTATGAGAGTTGATTGATATTAATTATAGCAAATCAAAAAAATACATGAAAAATAAGAAAATAATTTAAATCTCATTGATCAAGAAAATTAAAAAAGCATGAAAAAGTACATCGAATGTAGAAGTATAGTTGGATGGAGTTTATACTAATGATTAGAGAAATTTAAAAATGGGACCGCTTTTAAATCAATGCTCCAGTATAAGTAGACTGAAAATACCTGAAAAAAAAAAAATAAATTAAATCTCATTGATCAAGAAAATTGAAAAGGTATGGAAAAAGTACATTGAATGGAGAAAGATAGTTAAATAGAGTTAATGTTAATAATAGGAAAAATTAAAAATGAAATGACTCTTGAATCAATACTTTTATGAAAGTAGACTGAAAATATATAAAAATAAATAAATTAAATCTCATTAATGGAGTAAGAGAAATTTTTTTATTAACATTAATTTAAAATTTATTAACTAATAGGAGTCAATTGTTTTGACCAATCATATTGAAACTGTGCAAGATTTGTGTGTGTGTGTGGGGGGGGGGGGACAAAAACACATGAGAAAATACAATAGACGTGAACCAGTTAATGCGTGTGCGTGATATTGAAACTGCAAGATTTGTTTTAACCAATCATATTGAAACAAAATTTGTGTGTGTGTCTGTGTTATTAACCAATAAGAGTCAATTGTTTTGACCAATCATTTGTGTGTGTGTGTGTGTGAAGGAAGACAAAAACACATGAGAAAATACAATAGACGTGAACCAGTTAATGCGGGTGTGTGATATTGAAACTGCAAGATTTGTGTGTGTGAAACAGTTAATGCTTCGTCCAAGTTGTGAAAATAGGTCGGGCCACGTAAAAAATTAATTGAACTAATGGGAGAAGATAATTAAATTTTAATCAAAGTAAAATAACAAATGATAAGGCTGTGACCAGTGTGATGCTTCCTACAAGATTTGTCAATGGGAGAAGATAATTAAATTTTAATCAAAATAAAACAACAAATGACAAGGCTCTGACCAATGTGATGCTTTCTAAAAGATTTGTCAATGGGAGAAGATAAATAAATTTTAACCAAGATAAAATTACTAATAACAAGGTTCAGAATCTGACTAATGAAATGCTTTCTACAAGCTTTGTTGATATATATTAATTATATTAATTGTCAATAAGAAGCAACATCACCCTTATATACTGAGCTTTTAAAAAGATAAGCTCATAACCCTTTTTACCTTAAAATTAATAATTAATACTTTTCTCAAGCACAACCCTTGTTAATATGGTTTAGGGTCAAACTCAAAAGCTCGTATAATTATTTTTTTGCTTTTAAATTAAAATTTTTAATTATTTTTTTGGGCAAAAATTAAAATTTTTAATTATACTAATACTGATACAATTTGCAAAATATCATAATCAAATATATAAAATGTAAATATTCTTTGGTTTTTATTATCATCTATTTTTATCCAAAAAATTAGACCTTTTAGAGAGAGGTCTATTTGGAGGTAGTGGTGTTATTTCAACACCCTCACTAACTTCATCTTTGTCACCTAGAATAAATATTTAACAAATTGAATCATTCTTATATATTAATTTAAAATTTTAAATAAATTATATAAATAAAGTTAAAAAAATATACTCTCTTCATTCAAAAATGTAAAGTATTTTTAATTAAATCTCAGCCTCAATAAAATAATTACCTACTTTTAAACTAACCATATTTTTTTATATTTACTTCTATTAAACATCCTATAATAAATATAAAGTCATTATTAATAGGAGCACTTTTGAAAAAGATAATGATTATACATCAAAAGATTAAAAATGTCTTATATTTTTTAACATTTAACTCCTTAAAAAATATTTTATATTATTGAATAAAGAGAGTATAAGGGTTTCAAGAATAGTTCAAGCCCTTTTTATAGAAATTATTATGACAGAGCTTAAAAGCCCTTTTATACAAAAATCTTTTATTTTTGCAAGTTCAGCCTTTAAAAAATATAGGGCCTATAAGGATAGCTAGAAGGGTCGACCTTTATTGATAGGTTAAGTTTTAGCGAAATTTTAGTTGTATATTACAAAATATTATGTTTTTTCATATACAAGGGAATCTCACAAGATTTGGAATTCAAAATAAAAGTTCTATAAATGGAGGGATTCAAACTCATTATGGATGGCTAGTTCCATGAAAACAAAGAAAAAGAAAAAATTATGATCTTAATTTAGTTGTCAATAAATCTTGTGATAGTTAATTTTTTTATGTGGTATTTTAACATATTTCTCCCCAAAAAAAAATGACAAATATGGAAGAGGCATTTGAATTGTTGGAGGTAGAATGGAGAGGGTACAGATAATAGAATGTAGAAACCAAAGATGCAGGTGGAGTACAGGCATCAAAGCCTGAGGAAACAACCGGGAAATACGCTCATCAAATGAACCAAGGAGACTTGTACTTCCCATATGCCTACTTCAATTTAAAACTCTCTCCAAAACGTAAATCCTCACATTCATTGGGGTCGAAAATAACCGCACAACCAAACTGTGCCTTTCAAAACTCTCCCTTTTGTATTTTTTTTTTTAATTCCATACTCTTTCATTATTTTCATTTTTTTTGTTTTTACAGATTTCATGTGCATCCATTTCATATTGCTTGAAATTGCATTCCTCAAAATTTGGGATAGAGGAAAAGTGACTATTCTATAGTTACATTCACAATAGTACTCGAATTGACTCTAAAAATACGTCCAAAAAAAAACACCTAATATTATGCAAATTTATTCTTCTCGAAACCGTAGTCTAGTTGTTCTCCAATGTGGATCACTAGTGGTATAATTTGGAAAAAAAAAATTTGGACCGTCCGAAACGTCGGTTTTACCAATCCAACAATGCACCTTCAATAAGTTGTTGGGTTTGGGAAAATGTACACCTGGAGGTCATAAAACGGATTTCCAAAATATATGCCTGTTACTTCTCAAGTGAATGGATTATTTTCTGGTATAGATCATAAATTAATTCAAAGAAGAGCGTGTGTGTATGTGTTTATATGTATATATCTTGTTTAATTGTAGTCAAATGGAATAATTAGCCATAACGAAATTTTAACATCAGTTTTGACTGATCACAAATATAAAATGTTTAACTATTATTTTCTACAAGTCATGAACGATGCAATCTTTTCAAGTTCTGCATCTTTTTTTGTTTTGAAAAAAAAATTATAATAAACTCATTCAATTTTCTTTACAAATCATTTATATCAATCTTGTTAATATTAATACAAAAAAAAATACCATGAATAAAAGTGTGTAAAATTTTATATATCACTCTATATAACAAATCTATGAAGAATGGTTTTGAAAATATTTTTAAATATTATTTAAAAAACTGCACTATGATTTATTAATAAAATTAAATAAACTTTTAAAACATACCTTATAAATGAGACCAAATGAAGTATTTTATTGCTCACATGGAATATAATTCTATTTTATTTTTCACTATTTTTACATGTTTCAAGATGTTTAAATTTTAGAAAGAGTTATATAATTTTTTAAAATTTTCTAAATTATTATCTATCTCTTCCATGCAATGAGACGTTTTTTCGTAAATTTTTCTATCCAAACATAGGTTGAGTAGAAGTTAGTTTACCAAAATGACTTCCGGAATATCAAAACTCAAAAGTGGCATCCAAACACCTCCTAAAATAATCTTCACGGTTTGACGAATACGTGACGTAATACACCACTTGAGGTTACCAAAGAACATGTGGAAACGAGAGCATTATATCCTTGTCGCAAATACTGCATGTCGCACAACGTGTTCATTGTTTATAGACACAAGTAACTAGTTAATGGGGACCTTACTTGTAAACCAGGAACTAGAATAGGCAACGACGCAACGTGAGCCAAGGTTGCATTTGCACTTAATATATTAATAGTACACAGCCGAAACACAGTCCAAATTCTCTGTCCCGCGATATTGATTCATACTATGCATTCATTCTTCTATATACTCTAAATAATTGAGACCACATATGGACATAGATACTCAATGACTGATTCTACCATAATTCCCGATTTCCCGCACACTACAGTGCAGAGGGAGTCCCCACCCCATATTAACCATAGATAACAATTAACAATGTTAGCTAAAAATATGCTACCATTGTATCAGACAACACGACAAAACATACAATATTTTTAACCGCAGTTTGCAGTAAGAAGCTCCATGTAAATATACTGTCAGTCAGTCTTTGAATAGGGAGGCTTCGAGCTTCTCCTTCAACTGTACAGCAGCATTCTCCCCACCATGAGCTTTTATGGAGAATGTGTGAATGACCTTATCATCTGCAGTTGAAACACTGGAGTCTTGAGGTACAATTTGATGCTCTCTCAAAGTCTTGACAATCCCAGAAACAGGATGGGTCTCCAAAGGACAGCTCACGCTCACGACCGCGTCATCCTGTCTGGCCTGAAAATCAATATCTGGCAATGGCAACTGCTTGTCCTTGTTGTTCATCAAACCCCTTTCAGCTTCCAACACCTTAATCTTCATCTGCAGATCAGTGATATAGGTAATGGCATCACCGAGCAGAGATGCCTTGTCCATTTTGGATATGTTAGGAACAACAGATCTTAAGGCATAAAACCTCTGATTAAGTTTCTCCCGTCTCTGTCTCTCTGCTTCAACATGATTCAAGGGTTCCTCTCTACCATTGGCAGGTTTTCTCCCTCTTTTTCTAGGCTTCCGTTCATCTGGATGAGGTGACAAGTCTTCATTACCAAGGTCCAGACAAGAAGCCCTAGCTTGAGCGTTGAAATTCGCACCAATCATTTGATTCAGTTGTGGAAACAGTTTTGCTTCGTTACTATCTGCTATACTCCCATTGGAAGAATTCCCAAATACAGGGTTAGTCCCCAGTGCTTGTACCTCACAAGAGTCTGAAGTGAAACCAGAATCATCTTCCACCTTGGGGGAGAAACTGATAGTTATGGACTGAGATTTTGCATCCCCAAGGCTTAGCTCACGCCCAAAAATCTTGGGATACACCTTTGTCTGTCCAGAATTAGGCTCTCCAAAGGTTGTTCTTATCATCTCCAAAATATTCAAATCTTCAGGCATCACTTCCTTTGAACCAAGCTCAACAACCCCAGACTTGAGAGGTACAAAAGCAACTGTTTGAAAACCAGCCAAGTTTGCCAGAAACGATCTCGATTCATACTGGTTCAGACAATGAGAGAAGTCCCAAGCCCAAACTGATTTACCAGACTTGAATGAACTTCCAGGGCCATACCGCGAATCAAAACCAAATATATAATACATTGAAGTTGAGTAAAACATATCCAAATCCGAGACCCTGTCCGATCTCGCAGAATCAGCCTCTTTTGGCCCACCAAAGCAGGCACGAAGCTTTTGCAATACTCGGAGTTTCATCTCCTCCTTCTCTTTGCCAGCTCCATTCAGATCACCCCCTTTGTGATCCCGACAAAATCCATCGCCCCAACCCAATGCAGAGCCTCCAGATTTCAAGCCCACAACCTGCCAAAAGATGGCGTAGGTGCATTTGGACACCTCAACAATCTGGGACAACCTCGGATGGTGACCCAGGTCACCCCCAGATGGAACAAAAACGTCGGAGAAGACATTATTGGAAACGGCCGAAACAAAGAACGCAGTGGCCGCGGCACCCAACACAGATTCAAACATAGCCTTGTCTTCTTCGTTCAGGCATAATTTCTCAGCCATCTTTATTTCTTATCCTACAACCCCAGTTAATATCTCATAAATCTTAGACTCAACTAAGAATATCTTCACTAAAGATACCAAGGAAGTCTGAAATTCGATAAACTACAGACCAAGAGAGACAGGAAATTGATGCATAATCTTAGAAGCTGCAGATCGCGAGGCCCTTAATTACAAATACTCGATAAAAACAAACCTGCGAACAAGAAATGAAAGGGGGAATCGAAACGTGGTGGTGAGCTTGGGTCGAGAGTTTAGGGTGGTCGGACAAAGTGAGAAAGCATAAGAGAACAGGATTACCTGCAAATAGATTTGTCCGTATGTGTACGTGTTCGAGAAGGGTATGAAGCTTGACGGGATGGAATAGACAGCCTGATTTCACAAGATTTGAGGAGAGGCTCCAATTCAATCTTTTCCAGATCTGAAGGATTAGGGTTCTCACAAATATGAAATATCGTGTTTGGACGTTGGGCTCGAAGTTATCTCCTCTGCCTCGTGTTTAAATTTAAAAAGTACAAAGAGCAAAAAAAAAGAAAAAAGAAAAAAGAAAAAAGTTTCCTGTTTAAAAGTATAAAAACATTTTTATTAACAACAAAAATTATAGAACATTTAACAAATTTCTACCCTCAAAAAAATAATTAACAACATTAAAAATTATAAAATTTTTTATTTAATAGGATAATTTAACTGCAAATAAATATAAAAATTTATTAATTTTAAATATTTATTAAGGGCATTTTTTTAAATCTCCAATTATTTTAACATAAAACTAAAATACCTTATGTCACATTTTATTATTAAAATAGAATGAATAAAAAAATTAATATAAAAATAAACTAAATAATCTTTTTTTTCATAATAAATATAATTAAATTTATTGATATACGTTATAAATATAAAAATTATTAAACCTTTAAAAATTTTATGAATTATAATTTTTAATTTTATAAAATAAATTATCTCATTCCTTTATGAATGTGATTTACTATTTTTTTAATTATTTTATTTTTATTTTTATTTTTTTTAATTCATTTTATTTTTTTAATAACCTATATTTTTTAAATATGATATTCTTGTGACGAGTGGTTTGCAGAGATCTTGCTTTAGCGGCGACGGATTGGCGCAAATAAAAAGAAAAAGAAAATATCTTGCTTTGGATTAAAAAGAAAAATCTGAGGGAAAATGTCTATGACATACCGTAATTTCTAAATTGCCTTCGACGTTGGGCTTTTTTAAATACGATTGAGGAGGCTTTTTTAAATACGATTGAGGAGGATAGACATCAAGATATTTAAAACGAGAATCAAGGAGCATCATCAAATTGCTAGGGTGAGAAGCTCTATCTTCTCTGTAGTTTTTCGGAGAGAAGGCCCATCTTGTTTCATGTCTTCTTCTTCGACATCATTCTCTGCTCCATGAATTCAAAGTTTAAACTGGATCCTCATTTCATTTTCTCTGCTTCTTCATCTCATGAAGAGAACATGAATCCTTCTGCATCCAAATAAGATATTGACTTGCTTGACAGAAATATTTCAAAGCTAGATGATGAAATGATTGAAAAAGTTCCAGAAGCGCTGCAACAATCAGAAGAAGCAAGGGCGGAACCAGCCTTGATGTTGAGGGGGCAATTTTTGTTAAAAAAAATACTGCTATCATTAAAAAATATAAAATATATTTAATCAAATTATATTTTTAAATAAGTTAATTAATTATTATTTAATAGATATCATCTTTCTTTGTTTACTCTTATTTAATATGATGTCTCTCTTAAAAGTAAATGGTTAAGTAATTTATTTAATTAAAGGTATTTTTTAGAAAAAAAACTCATTAACTACATATTAAAAACTAAAAATGTTTTATATTTTTTAATAACTAACTGAAAAAAAGTCTTATATTTTTAAATGAAAGGAGTATGTACATGTATAAATTCATAAATTGTTAATGAAGGAAAAAAGAGAAAATTTATGATAAAAATTTTAATGACATAACTTATAAATAAGACAAAAAAAACTATTCTCTTTCTATCTTATAAGTAGAATAGGATGGAATATTAAATAGGAAAAATTTCAGGTGGGGATCATTGACGCAAAATAATAAAAAGGAAAATCCTAAAAATTCTAAAATTTCATCGAAGGACCTGTATGAATTTCTTTTGAATTTGCAGTGAAAATGAAAAAATTGCCCTATTTAAATAAACAACATAAATGACTTATTCATTCTCATATTATATGTTATTCATTTACTTACTGAATGTTGTTCGTTTCCTTATTTTGCTTGTTTATAAGCAAACTTTCACTTAATTTCATTTCAAGGGCCATAAACAAGTGAAGTAAGAAAATAAACAATATTTTATAAATAATAAACAATATATAGTATGAAAATGAATAAGTTGTCTTATCATGAAACCAACACTTAAAATAAAATCAAGTGAAACTAAGCCTTTAAACAAGTAAAGTAGGAAAACGAACAATATTTTGTAAGTAAATGAACAACACACAATATAGTAATAAACAAGTCGTTTATGTTGTTTATTTAAATAAGAGCAATTTTATCATTTTTTCACAAATTTAGAAGAAATTTTGTATGGGTCCTTCAATGAAATTTCAAAAATTCTAAGGTTCTCTTTTTCATTATCTTAGATCAAGGGTCCCCACACAAAATTTTTCCTATTACGTAAGTATATGTAAATATTGCATCTAGGTACACTAGGCTTCTTTTATTCTTTTTGTAACTTTTTTATGGGCCTAAATATTTGGAGACCCATATAAACATATAGAATATAGGCAGTTCTACCCATGATCAAAAGTACAAACTTAACATAACAAGGCTATATATTCTATCCGAGATTCAAAATGGGCAGCCAATGTTAATATAAACTAATGATGATAAAGTAACTAGTGCAAATTAGAGAAAATAAGCAATGTTCCAAGGGGCTAGAGCTCCTATCTCTTACAATGATTCGTTGATCAGATACAATAAGTGTTATGGGATCGCATTATTGGGAGAGATACTAGCCATGGAAATGAGAATTGGAACAAGAATGGATACCATCTAAAAGAACGAAGAAGTTAATGGACCAATACCTATCATCGCAAATCTCTAATGAGAAATAATGGAAAAAAATATGCTGATCTTGGATGGATATTATAGTTATCAATACTCAAGATTTATAACTCAATCATAAATTTCTCAAGCCAAGTTAGCAGAGATGTGGAAACTAAAAAGTTTTGAACTAATTGATCTTGTTTACAACCATTACATTATTAGAACTACGGATTAATCTACTTATGATAACACCCTCAATGGTGGCCCTTACATAATCTTTGACAATTGTATCTTAGTCCAATATTGGTCTTCTAGTAATATACCGGGCAAAATTGCTCTTTGGATTAGACTCACCAATATCTCAATACAATGCTATGATAAATAGATACTGTGGAGATTGGAAAATTGCATACGTAAAATATTGAAAGTGGACCCCACACCCTATGAAAATTAGATTCCAAACATTAACAAGGTAACACATAAAGGGAAAAATTTGTGGGAGTTAGTGTTAAAGTGGATCTTTAAAAGAAACTTGTACTTAGACTTCTAATCAAGGACACAATTTTCAATATGGAATACAAGAGTCTCAATCTAATTTGCTTTGGTTGTGGATGCTATGGCCTATGACACAAGCAATTGTCATCAAAACCCTAAGAACAGGAATACGGAGAGAATTAAGGGGAGTGTAAATAACAAAAATCAATCCAATCACAATAATCAAAAGGATTCAATAAGAGCAGACATGATAACCAATGATAAATAGAATAAAAAATGAAGGGCTCATTAAAAAATAACCAGAACTTATTAGAGGAGGAATTTAGAGAATGGATGAGACATAAAACCTAAAGATGCTTATTTTTTTAAATACCTAATGGACAATAGGTTTCCATGCCAAAATCACAAATAGAACTTCTCAACTAGTACTAGATTTGATGTCCTAGCATCTCTTATTTGTAACACAAATGGCTTAAAAAGAGGAGCAATAACAAGTAACATTCTACTTAAGAGCTCACCTTTGAAGATTGTCAAACAAGCATGGAAGAGGAAGGATATGGTAGGCATGAAATGATCTCAGCCTATTGATCAAGAGGTGGCGGCCAAGAGTTTTAGGGGAAAAGAGAGGAGTAGGATGGAGAAATTAAACAAGGCTACAAGAATTGGGCCAAGCTTCAAATGGGAAGGCCTAACATGATTAACTTAAGCAAATTAAAGTCCATTAAGGTGCAACTTAATAACGCAAACTACCTGCCCACAGAACAAGTCCACAATCTGCTTAAAGGTAATAAGAGAGATTTGAGCTCTTAAAAAAGCCTATAAGTGAAAAATTTAAAAAGCTCATATCTAATAATGTAAGTTAAACAAAACACACCTGAATCTTTCTTGTCCCTTGATCTAAACTTCTAGTAAGCCACTAATATTGTATAAGGAATTTCATCTTAAAAAAATTCTCAAGTTTTTTCAAATTCTTAGCTTGACTAGAGAAAGCCACCGAACCTAGAAAATAGTTATAGCATTGTCCAAGAAACTCAATTCAGTGATGACTCTTGAAGTCCAGTCCATAGTGATGATCTTGCAACCAACAAATTTAGTGACAATCCAATTAAGGACCCAATAGAAATTCTTAAAGCTTAATCCTTTATAGATTCATCTCCTCCTTTTAATTTTATTATCGATTTAATTTGTTGAAATTGTAGATGTTCTTATGCTAAAAGTTTCCCTGAGTATATTAAAGAAATTACTAGAACTTATAATATTAAAATTTTTATCTTACTTGAAACTAGAGCTAGTAGTTTCAGGGGTGATAATATTTTTACAAAATTGGCCTTTTTTGCTTGGATTCATGTTGAAGAAGTTGGTTGTGCTGGTGATATTTGGTTATTATGGAATAATGATATTATTAACATTGATTATATTTATTCTAATGTCTAACTGTTGCATTGCAGGGTTAATATAATGGCTAATAATAACTATTCTTTATTGTCTTGTGTTTATTGTGACCTTAACCCTTCAAACTGTGATTTGCTTTGGGATTTTATCATTTCTCTTGCTCAAAGTGCCTTTGATCCTTGGCTTATTGTTAGGGATTTTAACTCTTAACTTTGTTGCGATGACAAATTTAAAGGTGATAGTTTCAATTAGAGGTTAGTGAAATAATTTAGAAAGCGCAAAAATTCCCATGTCCTGCTTGAGCTAAACTTTCACAGAGATAGATATACTTAAAAGAGAGGCAATGTCAAAAAACAATTGGATTGGCTTTCTACAACACGGAATGGGGACTATTTGAGTAGGCTAACTCCTTTCACTTGCTTAAGTATGGTTCTTATCATTATCTGATTAGAATTCAAATACTTGAGGAGAATTATGAAAAGCATCATCCAAAACCATTTCATTGTCATGCAGCTTGAATGCTTAAGG